ATGTTTACTTGTACCTAGAAGTAATCTATTTCAAAGTACAAAAAGATTTGAAAAATGTGAAACCAAAGTTTTATAGGTCACTTTTTATTAATAACATATTAAAGTTTCTGTCAAGGAAAGTAATGCTTTAATTGAAATTTATCAAACTGATGTTATAAAACTTGTTTTTAAAATGCTATACTTACATTTGGCAAACTCTAGTGACAACAGTATTTCTGAAAGTGGTGAACTAAAACTAAAGTGTTCTATTTAGTTATAACAACTGTTGTTTACAAGTATTCTTTAAACACGAAAATAAATGTTACAAGTTATATGTGTTCAATGTGTGTTTCTATTGTGTAGGTAGTGTGCTTAAACTTTCCATCCATAAGTAAGAAATGCCCTTTGTACATTTTTTATGGATTTTCATTTTTATAGGTTTGTTTGTACATTTGAATTTGTATATTTTAATAAACTGTTTTGATGGAGTTGTAGTTTATAATGTACAGTGTTGGGAAGAAAAAAGTCAGTACAGAAAGTTTGAAAATAAAAATGATTAATATAAAACTCTATTCATATCAAAGTTAACAAAAACTTTCCAACAGTGGAAAAACATTTTTAGAAGATATAGGGTGTATCTGTGTAATTATGGAGAAAAGTAGTCATTTTATGAGCAGATAAATTTAATTAACTCTTACATAGCACAAGTAGTAAAACTTTTCTAATAAGCTTGGTTTCAAAAATATTTTGATACTGACTTAAATATTTTCTAGAATAAAACACTCTGCATGTTTAGAATTAACATTTTAGCTCACTTACATTACTTGAATAAGTTATTTGCCCTGGTTGTATTAAATGTGAAAATGGACAACCTATTCTGCAATTGGTTTTGAAAATACATGTATAAGCATTGGATACTGACCTACTTAATATTTAATACTTAGTGTTAAAGCTCACAAGACTGAACAGCATGTTAATCAATATCCAATATCCAGACCCATTGGTAATAATTAAACAATCAGTGTTAAAGACAACTAGATTCTGCATTCCAGTATTAAATGATTATTACATACAAGCCTAAGTAACCTAGTATTAAACACCCAGGTTTACAATATATAAAACCAGACAACCTTAAATTTAACAATCACAATAAGTTTAAGCCCCCACTGGTTTGTAAGAAAAACTTAAAATTGTCTCTTGCTTGATCGAGAACTCATAAATGAACTTGAAACCCTGTATTCAATAAATACATTGTGAATTTAGCCCAAAAATTTATTTTGTTAATAATGTTCACAAATTACAGGGTTGGGCAACCTTTTAAGTCTCAGTTATACACTTATTTAATTATGATATCATATGTTAAATACAATTATAAACCAAAACAGAATTAAAGGAAAAAAAACTCATGGATTATTTTCCATCCTGCATCAGCAGTTGGGCCCAACATGGCCAGGTGGTTAGGGTGATTGACTCGCAATCTGAGGGTTGCGGGTTCGAATCCTCATCCGACCCAACATGCTCACCCTTTCAGCCGAGGGGGGTGTTATAATGTGATGGTCAATCCCACTATTCATTGGTAAAAGAGTTGGCAGTGGGTGGTGATGACTAGCTGCCTTCCCTCTAGTCTTACACTGCTAAATTAGGGACAGCTAGCGTAGATAACCCTCGTGTAGCTTTGTGCAAAATTCAAAAACAAACAAGCATTAGCAGTAATCTTGAGGACTTATAATACTCCATTTGGAGTTTAATGCTTGCAATTTTTCACCCCCCACATTTGTCACTGGGAAACATTTATTTATTTTCAGTCTTCTTTTTCTTCAAAGTTCAAAATGAATACTTGACATTACAAAAAGATTAAAGGGGAGAAATGTGCACCTGTGAGTAACTACATGAGTAGGGTTAAAAGGTTTTCTAGAAATTTGAAAGGGTTTGTTTGATCTCTTATTTATAAAAAAAATGAACTTTGTGAAGAACAACATAAAATTATTTTTGACTGGAACATTATGTGTAAAATATTAGATTTTCTGGATAGATGGTTGGACATAAACAAGAGTACAATAAGAATCAAGATTTTGTTTTCATGGGTAACAGTGTTTATCAATAGTAATGTTCATCTTCCAAGAATTGTACAAATCAGGTTAGTGTAACTTATCCATTTCTATTTTCATAGAATACAATGTGATCATGAGATACCAAAGAAAGTACCCACAAAATCACAATCCAGTGTTTCAGAGAACATATTATTTCAAAGTTTCTTTAATTACAAGATTATGTGTTTTCTGATACAGGTTATTATCATGCTCAAGGTTAAAAATACTGAAGAGTTCATGTGTTTTTAAGACTTTGGTTGTATCTAGAGTATTCTACATCGACTGAAAATGGACATTCTAATTACTCAAAAAATAATCATGGTCATATATAGTGTAAGCTTTAAAATTATCTTATTTGGAGCACAACATTAATATAGAAATTTCAGTTTCTAAGTGCCCTTAGACCATGGGAATAAAACTTTCCAAGTGATATTTCAGTTAAAGAACACAAGCTTGTTCCATTAAGTTAACTGTTCATATTGATACTGCTTTCACTATGTATACCCATATATGGAATTCTTTCATTATGAATTTTTTTTTACATTTAAGTGCATAAACCTCACACTTAATTTAGTTGCAATTTTAGTTAAGTTTCCATGAATGAAAATCAAATGAACATTTCAGATTTATTTTACCCAGTGAAGTGAAATTTAATAAGAGAAAATATATTTATAATATTTTTTTTTATTGTAATGATCTGTAAAACTGTTACTCAGATTGCTCTTTGTTATTATTTTTATACAAAGTATTTCCTTCACTAATTACTTAAATTTGGAAGTTAAAACTTATTAGTCAACAAATTTACTATGTAATAATGTCAAAAATATAATACAGAAATAAGCCATTTATTACTAATGAGCTAATTTTATATATTTTGAACTGTGTAAAAACTCCTTGGTTTCATAACTTTTTTTAAATTTAATTAAAAAGTAGGATGTTTTTCATTCATTATAGTAATTAATAATATTAAAACCACCACTTTTTTTAGGTATATGAGTGTTATCACCTAAGAGTTAGCAAATTCCAATTTTTCTTATTGAATTACAAAATTTCATTCTTGGTTGTTATTGTTACTTGAATTTGAAATTTAAAGATAAATATGTGACTTTTCACTGTATTTTTTTTGTTACTGGAAAGCTTCGTTATCACATCAGAATTAACCTATTTCTGTCCAGCAGTTTATAGATCAAATTAATAGCTTATATAGACATTTCCAGGATAGGTCAGTAGGCTGATCAAGATGCAAATAATTATGTTCAAAATATGGCTGTATCCAATTTTTTTGTCACCTCAACCTTGAAGCTAAAAGTGTAATAGTCTGTGGATCTATTTTGTACATAAAAATCATCAATAACATTTCAATTTGTTCAATATATTTTTAAAACTTTGTTCACAGCATAAACTCCAACTTCTTAACTCTGTCTGTATTAAAAACAATAGTTTTGTGATTAAGTTATAGTTGTGTCTGCTAACATCTACAGTGGGATGTTACTGTTCAACACTTAAATATGTTAATTACTAGTGTAAAATGACTTATTTCATTCTTCATCGATGTTTATGGAACCATTACTGATTTCTCAAACTTGTGGGTTGATACATAAAATTGAACTTATATTTGTTGGAGAATTTTCTGTGAGTCTTATGTCTTACAACTTTTTTTATAGTTGTAACTCTGGTATCTAACATTTTACAGAAGGGGATATGTAAATTTCTGGATTAAGTGTGAACTTGGTAAACTCCACTTTGATAGGCTTTGTGCCACTAAGATATCTACTCTTTTTTTTACCCTAAATATCATGTGTCAATAATACTTGCAGTTGATCTCAAATCTTTAAGTGTTTGTCATTTGGAAAAGGTCAAGTCACATAAGAAAATAACCTATCTAAAGGAAATAACCTTACTGTAAAAATACTTTGTGTACTTTAAAACAAAAAAGAATTATATAGCAACTAACATTAACTGTGTTGCAGTTAATTTCAACATGTTAGACGTTTGTTAGTCACAGATTTCAAACGAGGATTTTTAATTCGTGAGCTACAGCCTTCCTGCTTGTTTTCACCTTTGGCTTACAAGTATAATTTCTGATCCGTCCATCTCCTTCATTAATATAGGATTTTCAACTCTTCTAATTAAAGGGAGTTATTTAGTACTTAAATTACTATTTTACAATTTAATATAAATTCCTACATATATATATATATATATATGTATACATATATCCCACTCATACACAATATGTTATCATGGATTGAATTCAACTAAAGCATACGGGATTTTTCATAACTATGTACAACTAAGCTGACAACTTGATTAAAACATATTATCAGTTATTTATGGGCATCAATTGGTGTCATATAAAATCATTGATTGATTACAATTACGATTAAATTGATTGTTATGAAAAGAAGCATCTAATGTTTCTGATTATTAAGATTTTTGATTATTCCAAATGTCCAAGTAATTGAAATACTGCCATTATTTTTGTACGTTGTCAAACACAACTGTGCTCTGCCCATTGCAAGTACTGAAACCCAGTTTCTGGTGTTACAAGTGTTGTTTTAGGAATTTCAGGAGAATAATCAATTTGTAATTGATTAATGACCTCAATGACTAATCAGTTAGCAAATTCCACTGATCCCACAGCTGTATATATATTGTACATGTGCTGTCTGGTATAAGACATTGAAAGTGCTGTAGTACCTAAACATGCTAGTGATTAGTTGAGCTGGAATATGTATAGAAAGAAACTTAGTATGTCTGGCAGACTAGTTCATTAACTGTGCTATTGGTAAAATTATCCTCAGTGAAACTTAATGATAATTTTCTGGACTCTTTAAAGATAGTGGGATTATGTGATGTAATACCACTAGTATTACGCGTTAGTCAAACTATAGCTACAATTTAGCCTAGTAATTACACAAATTAAATAACTGAAAATGACCATTTTATTGGTAAAATTATCCTCAGTGAAACTTAATGATAATTTTCTGGGCTCTTTAAAGATAGTGGGAATATGTGATGTAATACCACTAGTATTACGCGTAAGTCAAACTATAGCTACAATTTAGCCTAGAAATTACACAAATTAAATAACTGAAAATGACCATTTTATCCCAGAAACATTTCAGACGTAATGGCTAAAATTTTATCATGTATGTACATATAGTATGTTTTGTTATTCTCCTGTGAACAGCCTTTATTCTTCACAAAGTCTCTTTAATAAGCCTATGGTTAGCATTAAGTAAAACACTTGACAATAAAAAATAAATGTTTCACATTCAAGCTGCCATTTTTACTTCAATCAATTGTGTTCTGCTTTACTATACTACATCAGTAAGTCTAGTAGTTACTTTCAACATGCTAGAGAATAAACACAACATACCTTATTGTGAAAACTGCTGTGAAAATATGCATTTTTTTACTTGAACTTTGGGGAAATATTTAGCATACGTCTACAAGTTATTTGAAATGGTACTTTTCCAGGTAAGCAAACACTAATGTACATTACAGTAGGTAGAGTCCATGTAATCTTCTTAATTTTACATCTATATATTTAATTATTTGCATTCAGGTTTTTCACTTTCTTCCATGCCAAAAAAACAAAGTTAAATGTAGCCTGTCCTAATATCTGCCAAAGCAAACTTAAAATAAACAATTTTATTTATTTCTTATACAATTTTTACTAATACTACAGAACAGAACTGAGCGTATTTATATTAACAAATTGAAATTAATGTTTCGCTACCAAGAATATTGAAAGCTTGTCTGTTTACAAAAATCAATTACAAATTAAAATGTATATAAACTGTGATAAATACACACACATGTACAAAATCATGACTAAGAACACTCCTAAAGCTTATTCTCCTCTTTACTTTGTACATTAGACAGATCACACTTTAAGCATTCCTTGATGGTGAACATTAAAATTATATACTTCTGGAACTAAAGATAACAGTAATATATGCAGGCAAACAGCAGTCAAACCCCATATTCGATGCTCTCCTCCTAAAAACACTGGTAAAGTGTAACCATACTTAAGACGCATCTGAGTGATTCCCCAGTTTTTTGGATCACAAAGAGATTGTATAGTTCTTGTGAAAATCAGTTCCACCTCTCGTGGGTTTATCTTCAACTCACTTGGATTTACCTCACCAATGTGAGCAACTACTGGTACAACGAGGGCATCACCTTCTCTTGTTGGCAATGGTTTCATTTCTCCCCAAACTGTTATTTTACTAGCTGTGATTCCTATTTCTTCTTCAGTTTCTCTGATTGCTGTGTGAATAAAGTCTTTATCCGTTTTATCTGTCATTCCACCAGGAAAACTAACCTGCCCTCGGTGACGACGAATATTTGGTGACCGCAAAGTGAATAGGACTGATGGAATGCCGTTGAAGGTGCATAAAGGCACAAGAATGGCTGCATTTTTAAATGCTGAAGGTTTAACCCCTCGTATTACTGGAGATTTGGATAATCTGTTTAAAAATGCGGTTTTCCTTTCATCTGAAAATATTTGAGGATGTATATCACTGGAGTAATAGTGGCACAATTGAATACACCTTGTGTTGTTATGCACTCCTTTTCTCAATATATGGGAGTATATCATTTCTACTGAAGTAGGAATACACATATTCTAAAAAGAAAAATAACTTTTATATTATCAAAAAAATAAATAAAGTGAACTCTGCACTGAAAAAATTTTCTTTACCCAAGCTGTGGTTAAAACTTCAAAAGTTTGTTCAAAAAAACTAACAACAAAAAAACATTAGCTTATAAGGAAAAAGTTTTTTATACAACCAAAAGTTTAGAAAGAATGCATATTTAAACTTTATGAACTTTTGGTTGTATAAAAACTTCATGCTTTTTTTTTAAGTTTAGTGGATAGAATGGCCTAGTTGGATGAATAAGTTCCTTACTGTCCATAAATTTTATATTATTGTATGTGAGAATGTATAAAAAAAAAAGGTATTTTAATGGTGATGACAAATATGTACCTACAATGATTGAAAAAGGAAATGGTATCAAAAACAGAGCAGCTGAGTTTACCAGCATAATATAACTGGTCATACCTCAATCCCAGAAGACTTGATAAATATTTGAATGATAAGGGCTGACTACAAGTGTTTTAAAGTTTAGTTTAGTGGACAGGATAGCCTAGATGTTGCCCTTATATTTTACGTTAAATTAACTGGGATTATTATTTCATGTAATATTCATATAGGGTGTCAGTTTGATCAAACCAGTATTGACTTATAGTTATACTCATCATAAATTTTGAATTAATAATTATCTAATAATTTCAACCAGAAAAAGCTCCTACAAATCTTCAATGGAAATTACAAATAATGATAACTAGTTTTAGTTATGAGTAACACGCAAACCACAAAAAGCCTCTGAGTATAACCACCCTGGGTTAGGAGTTAGGTAATCAGTTGGGTATCCTCATTGTTGGTGGCATTTTGGCAGCAAATGGTATCAAGGAAGTCTACAGTGACATGACAAGTTACTGCAGAACTTCTCTGAGGTATACTTTTCAGCATGGAATCAGGATTTTATTTTTAACCTACAATATATATAAATATCCCTCTTGTGAGAGAGGGAGGCATGACAATAATCATTAGGTGTCAAGTAATATTAGATCCACATCACTAATATATTGTTGTCATAATCTCAGTAACAGCAGCAAAATATAAGAATGTTATAAAAATTTGAATTGATGTATGTATGAAAAGAGATAGATAAAAGTACTAGACGGCATACCCATACCAGAAAATTTGGCAAGTTAACCCCTGTTTGCATCACTTTTTCCAATAAATTTCAGTGATTGTTTAAATATTTTATTTATTATTTACTTATGATACACCGTAAAGACGCTCACTATCACTGTATCGGTATAACATAAATGTTAATAATTCGTCGAAGGGGAGTGTCGTAAAAAAAGTTTACACCATACACTTTAAATAGCTGGGGTTGTAGGTCTAAAATTCATACCCACACATAGAATACGAAGAGTCATACGCGTCCGCCTCACTGATGAACATTGGCTGGCACTAAATTCTAAACTAAAGTGAGATTCGACTCATGGGTGCATAAATTGCGACCTCAGTACTTCTCTTAAGTCTTATTTTGTTTCAATATTTTAACAAAATAATACGTGTTTTACTCCTTCAGTTTGATAATAGTCTACATATTGTTTATGATAATTATCTTACCACATATTTTAACACTTAATATCTCGGTTTTCCTTTCTTTGAATGATCACGATTTATCTCGACCCATTGCATAAAACATTAGCGCTACCTAGAAAACATCGCATGAAATAATTTATTGGCATAAAGGTTTTGCATGTATGGTATTTTTAAATGCCTTTTTACTCATGCAGTAGTATTATATACTGTTACGTCTCCGTTCGTTAGTTATTTTCCGT